CACACAGCACCCCTGCTCGGACAAAACAGATACCCCTCCAATCAGTGTATAAATGATCAACTAATAGAACACTTAATCACTGATGTATTATTTTATAAAACCAAAGATAAACATTAATCATAAAACTGATCCTAGAAATACTTAAAACCGTTAGATAGGGTATTTAGGCTCTATGAGATCTGTCATCAGGACTGAATGACCATAGAAAGCAAACGTGAGGGTCAGAATTCGGCTAGACATATTTTCATCCTGAGCTGGACGGGAGAGGAGGGGAACGTTCTTCGGGAAATGTTCAGATGGTTGAAGTAAGATGAGTTCTAATGGCTCTTCCAGACCCGCACGTCTCTCTAGAGACTCGCCTTCAACAATCTAGAAGCCATTTAACATTTTTTGCACTCCACTGCTTTTTTAACTTCACCAACTAACCAGATGCCCAACAATTCAATTGCAGTGTACCATAGAGATCCACAAAATAAGCAAGCACAAATAAAGTTCCAGTTAGAACCAAAAATGGCTTTTACAGCCTGATATCATCTAGAGTTAACCTTTTTATTCTCTAGTTTTTCAGAAAACGGGGCTTTGGACACATAAAAGAACCTACAATGAAATAGCTTTTTGATCTCCAAAGAACCATATAGTCAAGACCCCATGCAGCTAAAAAGAACAACTGAAGAACCGTATTAAACATGTTCTTCAATGTATTTAGCAAAATATTCACATGCAACATGCATTTAAAATAATTCCTCAAAACGCCAAAGCATCACAAAAGGTTTCATGGTTTGAATAAACAGACTTCATGATTTTATGTGAGACAAATAAGGAGGATGCTCCTACCATGAGCGTCACCATCTTCGGCCATGGCGTTGATTTTCTTGTTGGCCAGAACTTGCACGTGCTTGCCGCTGGTTCGACTGTAAAGCTGGTAGGTCCGGATTAGTCTACGGCTGACCCGGTCCGTCACCTTACTTTGCTCACTCACATGCTGTGTAAAATTAGGCGGGGACTGAATGGTTACCTGCCAGAAATTAAATACCATATAATCAATACCTGCACAAAC